TGAAATAAGGAACTCTTAAAAGGAAAGATTCACTGTGAGTTTGAGGTCAGCCCGGTCTACAAAGTTAGTTCTAGGGCAGCCAGGACTACACAGAGGGACCCTGTCTTGAAAAATAAAGACTTAGGGTAAGCACATAAGCACGGTGACTCAGTGGCAAAGGCACTTGCACCAGAGGACAGCAGCCAAGGTGTTGACACACGACCTTTGAGAGATTTCAGATGCAAAACCCATAACGTGGTGGGCATGCGGGGCCTTAGTCTTGTGTCTGATATTTGGGTTTTGTAGTTAACTGATGTCACTATGGACCTATGGTAACCAGTACATAGTCCCAATTTGATTCCAGAGAATTTGTGTCAATTTCTCGGTGCCTTTGAAGAATGTGAGTAGCCAAAAGTGGGGCACTCTCAGAACACAACAAGAGGCTTTCCCTCCTCTGTTTCTAGAAATTTTCTCTTTAGGAAACATTTACCTGGGAAATGATGGTGGTGGGTGACAGTTAACAATTAAAAGAGACAGAAGAGTTGTGTGTGCTGTGTGAGATCCAGTTCATACAGTGACCTGTAGAAAGACTTTTCAGAGAGCTGTAAACAGATCGGGCTTATTTGATGTTTAGGAAATTAGGGGAGATTTTTATTAGGTGCAGTAATAGGACAGTGGTTATGAATGGAGTCCTTGGCAGTCAGAGAGGTTCTTTGTTAATGAGTGAATTAGAGTGCTGGATAGTATTTGCTCTATAATACTCCAGCAAAGAGTCTTGAGGCAGAGGCAGTCTGTGAGTTCGAGGCCAGTCTGGTCTATAGAGAAAGTGCCAGGACAGGCTCCAAAGCTACACAGAGAAACTCTGTCTGGAAAAAAGAGCAACTCAAAGGGGAAAGCCTTTATTTCAGCTCACAGTTCAAGGGGACAGTCCATCATGGCAGGGAAGTCCAGCAAGCTGGAAGGACAGGAACAGGTCACAATCAGGAATCGGAAAGCAATGAATGGTTATGTTCAGCTCACTTTCCCCATTTTGTACAGTACAGATCCGCCTCAATTAACTCATGCATAGGACCTCATGAACTTTCCCCACTCCATGACAGAATGTTAATGGGCCTAGTCTTGTGCGGGTCTTGCACTGAGAATCAAGACTGCTAAGAGTTCAAGTGTATAATGACCACATTGTTCCCAGTGTGTGGTGTGTGTAGGTGTGTAGGTGTTGTTCTTCATGGCTATCCACCATTGGTCTCTAATTGACCTGAAAATCACCAAGTAGGCTAGCTGGCTTGGCAAGGATGTCCCAGAGATCCATCTGTGTCCATCTCCCTGGTGCTGAGATTACAGTCACATACCATACCTGGCTTTTTAATATACTGGTTCTGGGGTTGAGCTCAGGTCCTGCATTTTTACCTACTGCACTATTTCCCAAGCCATCAGTGCTCTGCTGTCCATGATGCCTCTGCTCTTACCATTTTCTGTTACTTTGGCTGATTGAAGAGATGGCTGTGATCCAGTAAGCCCAGCAGGTGACCAAAAGTCATAATGATTTCTTCTTTACTTAAGAAATCCTATAAAACCAAGTCAACAGATAGAATCCAGAAACTTTCAATCCTTGGAGCATGTCACCAAATCACTAAAAGCCTTGTTCATTGGAAAAACAGTCAATTCCTCAAACTTCTCAGTGTCATCACTGTACCCAAAGGTGCCTAGGTCATGCTGCCCAGAGTAAGGCTTCATCAGACCCCCTGTGGTGAGAGAACTCTATGCTTGCCTTTACCCCTTGACTCATTGTGGCTTCTCTTGAAAAGAGTTCATTTGTCCTAGCATTGATGTGGGTTTTCTGAGGTCAATGGTCAGCATTTTCCCTAGATCAACTGTGCCTGTTTACAAGAGACCTTCATCACATGGAGCTCAGGGACAATTGACTTCCATAGAGAAGGAGATGTTGGAGAGAGTCAGTAAACCATGCCTGAGATGCTATCGATTCCTCCCAGCCACCTTATGCAACTCTGCCCTAGTTGCATATGGCCTTGGAGTCTCAGGAGGTGCTCCAGTATCTAGGCTGGAGAAGGTTAACCAACACTCCATTGATGTGGCTATGGGGAGGCATCACCCAAGCTGGGTGAAGACTTTCCACTGTGATAGTCACCCATGCTTTTAGAACCAACCTCTCACCCTGCATGCTATAAATAAGCCCAGTAAACTCCCTGGTTCCCTGTGGTGAAGTTCAGTGGAATCATAGTCTGGTTTGTCACTGGGACCTTATAAGCAGATTATTATATTTTGATTTGTCATTGGAACCTTGTAAGCAAGGAGTAGACATTGTTTACAGCTCTTCATGAAAGGAGCTGTCTGGATCATCTTGGATAGCTGTCTTAATTCATTCTGGATGCTGTATTTAACAAATGCCCCCAAGCTGGCTTACAAACAGAGAAATATATTGCTCACAGTTCTGGAAGTTCAAGGTCAAGACTCTCATGGAATCCTTGCTGTGTTCTCTCATGGCAGAAAGGGTGATATTCTCCAGGGTGTTTTTTGTTGTAGTTGCTGTTGTCTAGGCCAGGCTGCCTTTGAACTCACTGTGTGGTCTAAGTTAACATTGAATTTTTGGTCCTCCTGGCTCCATCTTCTACATGCTGGGCACCTGTTACCATATCCAGCTTATCAGGCAAGCAGTCTACCAACTGAGTCACATCCTAACTCCCAAGGTATCATTTACAAGGACACAGATGCCATCCATAAAGGTCTCACCCCCATAAGCTAATAACCTCACCAAGGTTCATCTTCTAAAACCGTCACTTTGTGGGTGAAGATCAACATGGGAATTTGGGTCGATAAAACCATTTCTATCATAGCAGTGGCCCAAACACACAGTACACAGGCTGAGTCATCTGCTTTCTGTCTTCTCCAGAGAGCAAACACAAGCTCTACTGGTTCAGGGAATCCACCGAGTCCATCAGAGTAGCTCCAAGTTCCTCCAATAACAGGAACTAATTGCCTGACACACTGATGACTCAGTAGTGTTCTTTTGGACTGAATAGAACATGGTGTTGTTTGAAGCCTACTTGTTCAACTCCATGCACTTAACTCATCAAACTCAAGTCTCTACAACTCTAGCCACCTCATCTGAGCTTGAGGTTAAGAATTGATATTCTAACCAGAGAGAGAACCACACATTTCTATATATAATGGAGGTAAGTCAGATCGTCCACTGCAAGGTGGCTGACAGCACTTTGATTTTTAAGGCAAGGAGATGTGGTATTCTGATTTTTTTCTCCACCAGTAAGGGTCCTAGCCCTCAAAATCTCCATTCCATTGTTCTCTGCCCTTCACTTCTTCCTTTTCCAGAATCCCATCTGTTCCTCTCTATCCTATTTTGCTAGAAGCAGAATTCAGCATCTTCCTTCATTATCTTGCTTTGAGGCCTTTAGCTTCCCAACTAGACACAGCTGAGAGCCATGTGTGCTGAGAACCATGACTTTAGTTGAATAATTGATTGCACAGATCAGGTGCCTGGGAAAGGTGGTCCCTTGACTTCATCTCAGGACACCATGAAGGCATAACCCCTGAAACCCACACATCCCAAGATCTGATCTGACCATTACCCAGGGAACCTAGGACAGGCAGCCACTGGTTGTCCATAGCAACAAGAAAAGAGACTGACTGTGGGGGGGGTTAATAGGAAAGGATGATGGCTGAGGCTTGGGATCCCAGTAACAGGACACAATGAGAAAGTTGAACTTGAAAATAGAGAGAAACATGTGAGGACCATAGTTCAGATCTGCAGAATTAATGAAAAAGCAGGGTGGGCATGGCAACTGCCCGTGATTCCAGTATGCAAGAGGCAGAGACTGGGCATCCCCAGGGCAAGCTGACTAGCCAAACTGGCAGGAATCAGTGAGTCCCAGTTTCAGTGAAAAACCCTCCTGAATAAATGGAATGCAGTTGAAGAAGATACCCTACATCAACTTCTGGTCCCCATGCATACACACACACACACACCAAGTGCATATACACACTCACACATACACACACACCAAGTGCACATGCACTCACACATACACACACACCAAGTGCACATGCACACACACATACACCAAGTGCACATGCACACTCACACATACACACCAAGTGCACATGTACACTCACACCAAGTGCATACACACACCCCAAGTGCACATGCACACACCAAGTGCACACACACATGCAAGTGCACATGCACACTTAACACATACACACACCCAAGTGCACATGCACACTCACACACATACACACATGCAAGTGTGTGCACACACACATCACACACACACACTTACCACATATGTGCACATACAAATGAGAAGAAAGGAAAGGGACTGCCATTACTACTTGCATGTACCATCTGCCTGTACAATACCTCCTTGGTTTCAAGAACCCTCTTTGTAATCTTCCTAGAACCGCAAGTCTTAGGTGGGTGCCCCTCTCAACAGCTGCCACAGAGCCCTGTACCACTTCTAAGCCCAATACTTCACACACAATTCACTAGTCGCCTTACAGAACCAGATATCCGGGGAGACAGGAGCTCTGGTTTTATCCCCAGCTCTGTGTTTGTGGAATGAGTAAATTCTTACAAGTCTGCATAAGCTTTTATTTTTGTAGCAGTCTTTGCATCTCTAAGCAGGGTCTGTTGATTATGGCTGTTGGCGTCCCATAGTGTACAAGGGACATCCAGCAAAAGGAGGAAAGGAGGCTGAAATCTAGTCACACCCTCGTCACTATTTGGCTGGATGCACTCAGAGGAAGAGGAGTCTTTTCCTGCCCTGCACAGTACCACCTTATGGGCTTGCAGCAATCCAGCTCCGTGTGCTGAACGACAACCTTCCAATGGAGATGGGGGTTCTCTGCTTTCCTAGCAAGGCTAGGGCTAAGGGATTTTATAGCACCGTTTCTTCCAGTCCTTCATCAGCCTCCAAGCCCATCTACCAACCCCACTCTCAACCAAGTTCTCGCTCACTCTTTTCTCCTCTGCTTTTTGTCTTCGTCAGGGTTTGGGATGACAACCCCAGCCACAATTGGAGGGAAGATCTTTCTGATCTTCTACGGCCTCATTGGATGTGCAAGCACCATCCTCTTCTTCAACCTCTTCCTGGAGCGGCTGATCACCGTCATCGCCTGCGTCATGAGATCCTGTCACCAGCAGCAGCTGCGGAGACGTGGGGCAGTGACGCAGGACAACATGAAGGCCCCTGCAAAGGGCGAGGTGGATAGCCTGGCTGGCTGGAAGCCCTCTGTGTACTACGTCATGCTGATCCTATGCTTGGCGTCAGTGGCTATCTCTTGCGGAGCCTCGGCTCTGTATGCCACCATGGAAGGCTGGAGCTACTTTGACTCACTCTACTTTTGTTTCGTGGCTTTCAGTACCATTGGCTTTGGGGACCTGGTCAGCAGCCAGAATGCTCAGTATGAGAGCCAAGGGCTCTACCGCTTTGCCAACTTCTTCCTCATCCTCATGGGCGTCTGCTGTATCTACTCCTTGTTTAACGTCATCTCCATCCTCATCAAACAGACTGTGAACTGGATCCTAAGGAAACTGGATAGCGGGTGCTTCCCACAATGCCAAAGAGGACTCCTGCGGTCCAGGAGGAATGTGGTGATGCCCGGCAACATCCGGAACAGGTGCAACATCTCCATAGAGACGGATGGGGTGATGGACAGTGACACTGACGGGCGACGTCTCTCAGGGGAGATGATCTCCATGAAGGACACCAACAAGGTCTCACTGGCCATCCTGCAGAAGCAGTTGTGCGAGATGGCTAATGGTGGACCCCACCAGCCCAATGTGTCCTCCAGAGATGATGAGTTCTCAGGGGGTGTGGGGGCCTTTGCGGTAATGAATAACAGGTTGGCAGAGACCAGTGGAGACAGGTAGGGACCAGAAGTGGCTACTAGATGACGAGACACAGGGGCAAGTGGAGGATAAGACACTGTCCTGCCCCCAGTGAGCTCAGCGGAGTCCCTGGCTGTTGCAACTCGCCTCTCAAGTCCTGACCTTGGCCTCAGGCAACAGTAACCTCTCAAGGTTGGGGACTGGAACCTCCTTGTCTGCCTCTTATTTTACTCTTGAATTCCAAGTTTCATATTTGGAATTGCTGAGGTACTGGCCATCCCCAAGAGTTTTAATTGTCTGAGGAAGATGGGTTTCCCTCCAACTTTGATTTCCCTTCTGATGTCTATCACTTGGAAGGAGAGTCCTGACGAGCCAATTCTAGCCTGAAACTGTGAATGGCTGAGTTTGCCACTTCACCCAGCCCCTCAAGAAAAGAGAATGAACATTCCAGATTGTGTCTGGGCCTTCTTTTTACTGGGCTTCCTTCCAAACATATTTGTGGATGGTTCCATAGATGGGGAGAAACATCTAATCTAGTCTTTATACCTGCTTCTTGGCTTGGGAGTCTTTTGTTTATTGTTTTCTTTTGTTTGTTTTGTTTCCTGTTTGGCTAATGTATCTTTGGGATCTTATGTGATAAGAAAATTAATTCATCTTCAAGCCTTTAAGCTGCAGCAGGTTGATGGCAGTGAGTCAAGGGAGGAGAGCAACTTCCTTTGTAACCAAAGCCCACAGCCTAAAGTGTTCTCTCAGATGGTTACACAGAATATGTCATTTTACCAGGGCTTGGAGCCTGTTGTAGAGGCCACTATTTATTAGAACTAAAAATTTAATAAATTCTCATTTTGTTAACTGAGAGGCCACGGGTAATCATTCTGGACAGTGGAAAGGAAGCTGGAGATATGAACTCCATCTCGGAGCCTGGGCTGGAGCAGTAACATTCCAGGTCACATAATGAAGTGTGGCTGTCTTGTCTCATGCATTACAGGGCTGGCTTCTGGGACTGTACCAAGGCTAGTGATGTGAACCTCCCAGGCTTTGAGAGCATCCCTCCTAGGAACGGTGGTTGCTGGCCTCCATAAATGCAAGAGAGAGTCTGTAAGGCCCTTGATAAGTCATTTTTTACAAGACTAGAGTGTACACACAGCACTTTCAGAAGCGATTAGTTGGACCAGTAAAGAAGACAGCTGAAAACAAAACAGTGGAGGGAAGGGTGGAGTAGAGCCTGGGAGCTGAGGGGACCCCTGGGCATCATCTCACTCCACCCCCTTGACTTTCACAAAGGAAGCCGTAGGTAACCCAGGAAACGGCTCCTCATCTGAGTCTCAGGCCTGGTTGGATGCAGTTGGGAGAAGGACTCGGGTCTCCTGGGCATGAATGTGGGTCTCTTGGCCCCTCTTCTAGCCGGCTTTGAATTGTTCTCCCAGCCTCTCTGTAGGCAGGGCTGTCCAGAGCTGCTACCAAAGCTTGGTAGGTACTGTCACCAGAAAGCAAGCTCTGTGCCACCAGGAGCTGGGTACCACTTCTTAGCAGTCTATTGGTGTCCATATTCCTGGTACAAGAGCAAGCACAGAGATGTCCTTTCTTCTCTTTGTTGGTCCCTAGAGACCATGGCAGTGTGCCAGAAGGCCCATTGTCATAAGGCTCATCTTCCAAGAGGGTCAACTTGGAAAGAGGATGCTTACAGGGTTGTTCTATCACAACACATGATTCCTGTAAGTGGGGTCCAGCACTGGCATAAACTTTTCAGGTGTGTTTATTTGTTAAGACAGGTTCTTGATACATGGCCCTGGCTGGCCTTGAACTCATGATCTTCCAGTCTCAGCCTCTCAGATGCTGGCATTACAAGAGTGAGTTACCGTGCCCAAGTCAGATAAAGTTTTAGAAAACTGAACTTGGGCTTCCTAAAAATCCCTTCTGAGTCTCAGAGAGTCAGCTATTTTTCTCTGGGCTCAGGGTTCCTTTTGGGAACATTGGAGAATCAGTGTTAGGAGAAGAGGAGGAAGAAGATGAGGGAAGGGGGGGAGAGGGAGGGAGGGAAGGAGGGAGGAAGGAAGGGAAGAAGGAGTAAAACAACTTAAAAAATTAGGAACCCCCATTTTTTCTTCCTTTTTTTTGTTTAAGTTAGAAACAAGCTTGCTTCACATGTCAATCCCAACTCCCTCTCCCTTCCCTCCTCCCCCACCCCCCACCAGACTCCCAGCCCCCCACCCAGTCTCTACTCTGATCCCCAGGGAAGGTGAGGCCCTCCATGGGGGATATCCAGAGTCAGTCATTTCATCTAGAGCAGGGCCTAGGCCCTCCCCCAAGAGTCCAGGCTGAGAGAGCATCCCTCATTGTGAGACGGGCACTCAAAGTCTATTTGTATGCCAGGGATAAATACTACCCCAGGCCCCATAGATTACCTAGGCCTCCTCACTGACACCCACATTCAGAGGGTCTGGGTCAGTTCCAAGCTGTCCACCCAGCCATCAGCCTGGGGTCCAAGAGCCCCCCCTTGTTCAGGTCAGCTATTTCCGTGGGTTAAACCAGCCCAGTCTTAACCCCTTTGCCCACTAGTTCTCCCTTTCTGTCACTGGGTTCCAGGAGTTCAGTGTTTAGCTGTGGGTGTTTGCCTCTGCTTCCATCAGTCGCTAAATGAAGGTTCCATTTCCCAGACTCTCTGGCAGTTGGACTGTAGGCTGGCACTCCCCTGATTCATGTCTAAAATCCATATATGAGTGAGTACATACCATGCTTCTCTTTTTAGGAGCCCTCCTTTAATGAAACCTCTTGCAGTTACTAATAGGCATGAACTGGTCAATGGGACATTATAGACAGTAATTATGGAAGCCAGAGTCCACGAGGCTCCTAATAGAGTGTCAGGTACATACATAGAAAGGAACCAGGCTTGTAGACATACCTTTCCCAGCTAATAACCACCATGGCTTTCTTTACAGTTATCTCCTCTTGTCATGTCACCTCTGTTCCCACCCTGCTTGGCTCCTTGACCATTTCCTCGGCTCTCCTCTCAGGCCTGTTACCCTGTGATCTCAGGGAGTTGCGCCACCCTAGAAGTGTGTTGGCTAAGTGCTGTTCCCAGAACACATTGCAACTGGCCCAGGATCCTGTGTCAGGAGTTCAGGGTCTCCCCACCTAAGGTGCTTTCAGGCTTTGTCCAGAAGGTCCAGGGTTCTCTGTGACATAGCAGCCGCCCCTGTGTCCCTTGTGAACCTCATTCCATGTCGCTTGCCTGAGTTGTGCAGAACTCCATGCTTCTCGACGTTCTCACCAACGCGGCTTCTAATTCATTTTGTTTTTAAAAGAGACTGTCATACCAAATGGAAAGGCTGTAAGCAGTTGCTATAAATAGGAGATCCAGAAACTAGGGGAAATGATAAAGTAAAGCTCTTATTAAGTTCTATCCAGACCTGTATCCTAGCAAAGGCTCTAAGTCTGAAGGATTTTCTCTGTTTGAAACCAGTGGAGAGTAGGTGGCTGTGGTAGTCCCGCTGAGGTGAGAGGATCCAGAGTTCCAGGCCATCCTTGGCTTCATGGGACCCTGTCCCAAAACGAAAGGCTGATGAGATGGCTCAGTGGGTAAAACCCTGCTGCCAGACTTGACACATGAGTTCAGTCCCTGAGGCCCACATGGTGGAAGAAAAGAAATGACTACAAGCTGTCCTGGGACCTCCACACCACACTCACCACACACGAAAACACTCATGCACAAAAATAAAAATAAAACTATGTCATTTCACATTTTTTTAAAGATGTACCATTGCCTTTAATTCTCACACATACGAAGGGCAGGGGACACAAATACAAAAAACATGGAGGAAAGGTCACACATCAGCACTGTGGGTGCTATTTTTAGATGAGCAGTCTACTTTTGCAGTACTCGGAATAAGGTTGTTCTTGCCTCAGAGGAAGGCCACATTGCTTCCACAAAGAATGGGAAGGAATTCATTTTAAATAGCCCTGCCTGCTGTCTGTCTGTCTGTCTGTCATTAAGCTACATATCAGGTAGGGCACACATGCTTGTTCTATGATAAAGTCAAATTCACTGAAGGGAGTTGGGAAGAAAATGACTCCCACCTTGTGATTCTAGGTTAATTCCACACCTCAAGGCCCCTAAAGGTGTCTCACGTTCTGCCCATACCCTCGGTGTCCACATCTGGAACAACAATTCACAAATGACAAGGGACTGTTTCTGAGGCCAGGCCAGTGTGTGAACAGCCCCTCTTTTCATGAGAACCCCAGGGCTGGAGCCCCAGTAAGTGTGTGGAGGGGGAGGTAAGTCCCTTACCGCACTGAGCGCCATCTCTATGGAAATGCCAAGAACGCCAGCCAGCTCTCTTTGCAAGCTGGTGGAAGGATCCAATTAGGTGATGGCCCGGGAAGTCATCAGGGCCCTATGAATGGGTGTGGGCAGTGGGCTGCTGCTTTGTGTGTCAGGAGAGGAGGCTCATTGCATCCAACCAGGAAAGGTTTTGCATGGTTCTCGCACTTGCCAGGCATTGCTCGCTATATCACTTAAATCAGCAGTTCTCAAGCCGAGGGTCGAGACCACTTCGGGGGTGCAATGGCCTTACTCAGGGGTCACCTGGGATCATCAGAAAACACAGATATTTACATTACAATTCATAACGATACCAAAATTACTGTTGTGAAGTAGCAAGGAAAATCATTTTATGGTGGGGGGAGTCACCACAACATGTGAGGAACTGTGTTAAAGGACCACAGCAGCAGGAAGGTTGAGAATGACTACATGACTGTGCTTCTTCTGTTGTTCAATGCTATCAGCTTAGGTTACCGCCTCCCATCCCCCACCCCCAATCCTTATACCTATTCCAGAGAGCTTCCGTTTCAGTGTCAGCTGACCTCATCAAACCATTTGATACAATACACACACACACACACACACACACACACACACTGCATTTTAATCTTGAGGCTTACTCTGTCATATTTGTGGTATTTTGACCTTCATAGCCATACTATGGAATAGCAGGCACCTATTTTCAAACTCCCTTTAACCTTGTCTGAAATACAAAGGGTAACGCTCTTATTTTATGAGCCAGTTAACTGAGGTCTGGGTTGACAGTGGTTTGAGAATATGTCTGGAAATTATTTACTTTGGTATTCTGATGGCAATTCTCTATTGCTGCAATTCTACCTATAGATATTAGTTACAATTCTTCTATACAGAAATGTCTCTCCTCCCATCCTCCATTGTTTAAAAAATAGTAGGGAAGTTTTTTTTAACATTCCTTTCAGGGCACCTCTGATGGCAGTGAATTAATTCTTTCAGTCCTAACTGTCTGATAAGAGTCTTTGTTTCACCTCCACTTTCTGTGTGTGTGTGTGAGTGTGTGTGTGTGTGCGAGCACTTGTGTATGTGTGCGCATGTGTGTGAATTCACGTGTGTGGGTACATGTATGTGGGTGTGTGCGCATATAGAGACTAGAGGTTGATGTTCAGTGTCGTCCTAATTATTTTCCACCTATATATGGAGGCTGGGTCTCTCACTTGAACCCAGAGCGCACAGAGCTTATTCCAAGGATGGCCTCTCTCTACCTCCTGAGCACTGGGTTTAAGGCAGGCCACCACGCCTGCCCAGCATTTCTATGCAAGCTGGAGATCCAAACTCCAGTCATCATGCTTGCACAGAAAGTGCTCTAGACACTAAATCGTCTCCCCAGCCCTTTCCTCTACTTTTGGAAATACTCCTGATTGACAGACTTCTATGCTACCAGGTTTTAGAAAATAATTTAGCCCTTCAGATCATACAGTTGCCTTCTGATTTGTGTGGTTTCTGATAAGAATTTTGCTATAGTTATTTTTCTGATTCTTGAGAACATAATTTTTGC